CCGCGCGCCGCCATGTTGCGGCCGGAGCGCGCGGGCCCCGCTCTGCGCTCCGGCCTGGCCTCTTCGGGGCACCGAGGGCCCCGTGCGCTCGCTTCCTGCGAAGTACTGCTCAGAGAAGCACCACTTCCCGCTATAGGGAGGTTCTTCGAGATTTCTTCTTCACCACAGTTGGTCAGAACTGAATCACATCGTTAACCTCCATCTCTTCGCCTAGCGTGGGTGTAGCAAAGCCCGACCTGCTTGACAGTGAGGGTGACAGAGCATTGGAACAGGCTGCCAGCAGAGGCCGTGGCCTCTCCTTCTCTGGAGATCTTCACAGCCTGCTTGGACACAGCCTGTGGCACGTGTTCCAGGTGATCCTGTGTGTGCAGAGGCTGGACTAGATGATCTCCAAAGGTCCCTTCCAACCTAAAGGATTCTATGGCTATGATACCTTTAGAAAACAGGTAAAGAGCACTACATATGGCCTTTGGATATGCCAGTATTTTCAAATTTACTTTCATTCCCTTTAAACTTGCTTAGGTCTTTTAGGTCACTGCATGATTAAGCTAAATGCTAAAAACTTGCATCTTTATAAACCTCCATGGTGATAAATTGCAGCTCACAATGCTCGCATTGCAAATACCCCACAGCTAGATGCTTTTTTACGTTACTTTTAACCAGTGTTGAGGATATTGCCAAATTCATCTGGTGGTAGACTGAGATGCTTCAGTAGTAGAACTCCTTAGGCTGGTTTTTTTTTATTATTATTATTTTTTATTTTTAAATACCTTGTTCTTTCTTCACGAGCCCACCACTGAAAAATATGTTCAGTTACCACCACCTTTAAATAGAAGACCATGTCATGGCTCATTCCTGATCACTGGTGGTGGCCTTGGCAGGATTGTGTCATCTGTGRGTACTGAAACAGAATGAAGGGTGTGAATGAAAACGTGAGGTGGTTAAAAACTTAATAGCTGAACAATAATGAGAACAAATAGTTGAATATAGCTCAGGAACATGTCTTTCCAGAACTAGATTGCCCTTTCCTCAGATAACTCATTTTTTGGCCAACTGGGAGTTGGACACAAAAGAAAAATGGCCATTATTTAGCTCATGCTAGTGGGAGTAATTAAGCACTTTGCAAAGAAAAGGAATCTCACTAAGCTGCTCACAAAACGCAAATGTTTTCCCAAGCTCAGACTGACTACAGGTAAAGCTGCCTGTGATGAGTGACGACAGTTCACCTGGTTTCAYGAGGAGGTCTGTTTTCCCTGGGAACACCACAGGATGATTCAGTAGGAAAAAGCAGGAATTGAGACATACTCAGAGAAATCGGAGTTGACTTACTGCCCACGTGAGAAAGGGTAACATGGGCTGCTCAGAAAAAACGTGTTCCTTATGTGAAGAACATACACAAAAAAGCTAAATCTCATATTGCCGTGAAATAGCACCCAGGCAGGACAGAGTGGTGGAGAGATGGGGAGAAAAAAAAAGWGCAAAACAGCTTTCACTAGAACAGATTAACGCTGAGATTGGTTTTAGATTAAGGCTAGTATTAAATCCGAGCATTTTTGGCAGAAAGAGCAGTCCTGCCCGCGAGCAGAGAAAATTGCAAGTTTTCTTCTTTCTCTTCCTTTTAGACAGAAGCGTGGTTGCAGCCTAGCTGTAGCAGACGTGGAACAAGCCTCTACATAAGTTAGAAAAGAGAAAGAAAGAAAAGATAAAAAGGGAATAGCGAGCGGAGGCGAGACAGCAACGCCGCTACCTCAGGATGCCCCCCCCGCCGCTCGCAGTGCGCCTGCGCGGCGTCCCGGCGTTCCCCGCGGCGGCGCTACGCCCACCCCGGGGAAGCGCCCGCCCCGCTTCCGCGCAGCGGGGTGGTCCGCGTCGCTCGCCGTACCCCGCGCGCCGGAAGGGGCCTCCCCGCGCGCTCCGCCGCAGCGCGGGCATGAGGGGCGCGGGCCGCGCGCGGCTCTCCCGGCGCGGCCGATCGCCCTGAGCTCCGGCGCCGCCTTYTCCCCGCTGCCCCCGCCCGGCCTCCGCGCCGCCCCTGAGGCCCGCGCTCGGCGGCGCGCGCGGCGGGGATGCCGACGCAGCGGGACGGCAACGGCACCATGTCCCACTCGGGCCCCGCCGGCGGCGGGGGCGGCCTCGGCGGCGACAGCGCCCACCAGGTCCGCGTGAAAGCCTATTACAAAGGGTGAGTATCGGCTGCCCGCGGGCAGCTCTGCGCGGCGGCGGCCCCGGCCCGGCTGGCGGACCCGCGCAGCCCTTTCCCCCTCGCATCCCGGGGGCGCCGCCCCGCTCGCTGCTGGGCCCCGCGTTTGAGGGAAAGTCTTATCTCGGGGSTAAGCAGAGTGATAGCGCTGGTATGCTGGGCTCTGGCAGCGCGGCGGGGGCTCCTCTGCCGTGCCGGCTTGGGAATGTTGCTGCTTTCCTTGGAGTTACTGCGGTCAAGTGTACGTGTTCCTGTCTCTTGGAGTGCCTTGCTTAGCTTGAGGATTCTGGCTGTGATGGTAATGTGATACGTTAATTATCGTTTTTACRGTGGCTTTGCTGGTAATGTTACAGTCTGGACTTAGGAACATGAAGTTCTTGGAGGAGAAAGGGGAGTTAAAAAAGAAAAAGGAAAACCTGCTACTGAAAGGCTGTGTTAAAGTGGCTTTCAAGTGTTGTTTTGACCGAAGCCGACTCTGGCAGGGCTTGTGCTCAGGGAGGCTCTGCCCCAGGTGTTAGATTTCACCAGACTGTCTCCAGCGTGGGTTCAGCCCATCACCTCCCTCCCCACCAAGAGCCCTATGTGGACTGAGCTGTTGAAAGATACCCATCTTCCTGCAATAAACAGGGAAGTATCTGGAAAGTTTCCTCTTCCCTTTGCTTCTGTTCACCTTGCCTTCCCATGCATTCCCATTCTACTTTTTTTTTTTTACCTGCTGCTAGAAATAAGAATAATTGCTTAATGACATTTTTTTTTTTTTTTTCCCGAAGGTGAAAGTAGCAAACTTAAAAAATATGCCCAGGGTCAAGATCCAAAGGAAGAGGCTGAAAACCCAGGTCGCTGCTTTTCAGGCTGTGGTTCCCAGGGGCTGAGTGGTAGCAGGCACATCCACTGCAGTTGTGCTTCCCCTGTATGCAGTGGGGGGTCTGCACAGTGCAAAGCTGAACCCTGCCCACAGTGCACRTCATGCTAGAGGAAGTACAAACTCATGTTAAACAGTTAATAGGACCTAATTGTAAAAGTTTGTTTGTGAGACTTGATGGTGGTTCTTTGGGTCATGAAGGTTGGTATCAAGTGATGTAAACAAAGCCATTTTTTTATATAAGATTTGTTTAAGATTGGACCCTCCTCTGGTTGGTCAGTTTTCCTCTAGATCACTTCCCCAAGCAAGCAGGATTATTTGCAGTAGTGCAGGCAGGAATAGAAAGAAAGTTCAGGGGGTAGAAGTGAGGAATAAAACTAAACTGGAYGTGAGTGCTGGTTTATGACACTAAATACTCAATAATAATTTCACAGATTCTGAAATGTTTCTTTTGAGTCATTTACTGAGTTTTTATCTACTATTATAATTGTCAGCTCACATGTARTAATGAAACTGAGTCACACAGGGAGTTGGTTAACTATTGTTAGTACAAACAAACAAGCTGGAATGCCTTAGTCATCGTTTCTTTCAAGATCTAAACAAATTCATCTTTCCACATTCCTGCRAGAAAAGGTCTTGTGTCCGCTTCTCGAAACGGTGCTATCAAGAAATGGATATCAGAGCAAAACATTTTACTTCCAGTGAGTTGGGGCTCACTTGGGAACAAAGGATGTGAATCCTATCAAAARCAGTGTTTTATCAGTTCTTATTTTATCAGCTTTTGTCAGTTAAACTCTCTTAAGATGAGAATTGTGTAGAAAATTTTACAGAAAATTGTATTAGGAAACAATCTCTTAGTTTTGCTTTAATAAAAGTGTTTAAACAGAATGTAAAAATTGCAAAAGTCTCAGTATGAAGATCTTTTCCCTTCTAGAAGGAATTTCTGGTAAAAGTTAAAAAATAAGAATCCATCAACTCCGAAGCACAGATCCATTTTTGATCCAGTTCATAACCTGGCAGASTGCTCACCTTAAGACATGGCTCTTACCAACTTAGACCAAAGGGCAGGCTCTGAATCTTCATAACATAGGTTAGTCTGGCTAAGAGCCTAATTGCTTTTCTCAGCTGAGACAAAAACTTTCATGAAGAACTCTTTGAACGGTCTTTGTTTCCTTCTAGCATTTAGTGGAAATCCTTTATCTTAATTCATGAACTATGTAAAATCAAGAAGGAGAATTTTCCTAAAATGAAGGAAGATCATAGGAATAAGGGTATGGGAAATCTCAGACTTGGGAACTAGGGCATAAATTGAATTTACCTGTTATTTCCTTCTCTTGGGTAAGCTGTACTTATCTTCCAAATAGGACTAGTTGTTTAATATGCAGAAAGTGAACCCTTTAAAGGGATTATCATATTCCGTGCAGTATGAGTAATAGAAATTCCTGAGGGAGTACTTAGGAGTTCACTCTGTCATACCAAACGTTTACACATACTTGAGATTTTTGTTGATACTGTAGCAAAGCTTAGCAATTTCAATTACTGTACTTAGCACCTGGAGTTACAAGCATTTCAGCTCTCTATTTTTTGTTTGGAGTTTACTTTTGAGTTGCCTAGTTTGTTTATTTGTAGATAACTTTGGTCAGCWGTGTTCAAGAAAGATATTTTATCAATACTCTGCATGAAGAAGAATGCATTGCAGTGATTGAGAACATCTGGAGTAGGAGAATTCTGCTTGTGCATCCCATAGAATTAGTGGTGCTGGTTACAAATATTGAAGAACTGTCATGGTTAAAACTGCTAGGTTTCCTTCAGTGGCTGATACAGATTTTGAACTGTCTGAACTATGCAGTATGCAATTCAGGGCAGATCTTTAATGTAGTTAAAGGCATAGGTTGCCTGTATGTTCTCCATCTACAGTTTGTTTTATTTCAATGAGAAATACCGCTATCAGGAATCTCTTATCTCATGATACATGTGAATTTGACACTCTTTTTTAATTTAAAAAATACACTTCTTTTTTTTTAAAAGAAGTATGTTTAATGAGTGGGAAAAGGTCTGGAGAGACCAGATCAGTGATAATTATAAAATAAATAGATATTCTATTGATACTTCCATGGAACTAATTTCTTAAGAACCTTTGAGTTCTTATCCTTTCTTCATAATGTTGTTTGTGTGGAGTGCTTGATGTAGTGCAGTCAATGTAGCAAAAGTTACTCTTCAGCCAAATGTCTTTTGTGTAATGCTATACCCAACAGAAAATAAGAACATTCACTTAATAAAAATGAGCCCATTAATACCTTTTTGGTCTTTTTTTTTTCTTGTATTGGAATTGATTTAATTTTGCAGATGAATATTTTTCTATGATACAACTTTCAAAATAATCAAATTGTGCAGAAGCAGGCAGTTGTCAGACCTCAAACATTCTCTGTGGAACGAGATGCTTCAAACTACTGTGTGGTGGTGTCTGGGTCTTATGGAAGACATGCCTACTGAAACAGCAGAATTCCTATATAAGTTTTGTATGGGTTAATTTTAGGAAGCTATAATTAGACATCCCTATAGTCAGAATGACTGACCTGGAAGCATGATAAATGTGGTGTGAGATTTTTCTTTTGCTTGGAGGTTGGAAAAAAATCTAAAGCAATAGTTCCTGTTCTGGTGGATTTTCCTCCAACAGAAATTTGAGCTTAGTAGTTAAAAATGATACATTTATTGCATTGTATTTAAGGGTTGGTGTTGTTTTTTGTGTTTTGTGTGTTTGTTAAATGATGTTATGAATATTGGATGTTCTGTAAAAGAAAAGATGAGAGAAAGAAGCTGTTTGATCTCAGGAAAGATGGGGCAGAGAACAGTGAGGTTCATAATTTTCTAAAGATGTTTARAACCTGTTCTGTAGCACTCATGTTTACATTTGCTGCTTGCATTTTCTCAGTCTTGCTGTGGCTTATCTTTTACTCATGTTTGTAGTATATATTGACTCAGTCGGGCCTTTTGTTATTAATGTGGATAAAATGATCCTTTAGTATTTATGGAAGATACAAATGTCAACCTCTTATTTGAAAGGAATTCAGGACAAGGAGTATTTCATCTTGATGTGCATGTTTTCTACTTTGTAGGCTGCTTGGTTAAGAAATATTGTAATACCACTGAAAATGAAGTGGTGCTTTTATTATAAGAATCAGTTGACACATGCAGATATGGTGGTGCAAATGGTCTGCTTTAATCAGAAGTGTTTTCTGATTCCTTCTGTGCCTCATCAGGAGACGATATTTTGTTTGAGAATAGCTTTACAACARCCTTATGTTTATTAAAAGCAGCGTGTCAGCTTGTCTTCATTGAGAAGAAAACCTTACTTTGAAGATTCCTCCCTCCTCATCTTAGTGAAAGAAAGTTCTTTTTTTATGCAAAGCAGTAGGGCATAGTACACACTCATTTTACTTCAACTCAACATATTTTACTTATCATACTTTAACTCATTTTACAACTTTGTTTTTAAAATACTGAATTTCTTCTCACTGGGGTTTAACTTTGGATCCTGGCTTGAGTTAATACAGCTTTTTACTAATGAAGAAACTATCAGTACAGCATTAGGTGGAAGAAGTGTGGAAAATACCATCTAATGCAAAGGTGTGTTAACAGACTACTCAGGAAGTGAGACGTATCTCAGTAGAAAATATCAGTGTCATCAATATAATTAAAATTGCAAAATAAACTTGTAAAAAGACTTCTAATCTTTCAGTTTCTACCTTAGTAAATCTGGCTTTGCAAATCTGAGAAAAAAGATATGCTAGATATACATGTAGAAACTTGATCATACTTAAACACTTTTTTTATATYGCTATTGGTTACGATTCTGCAAAATATGAAGAAATGAATATTAGTAATAGCACATACTRAGATCTTCACAATGAAAATCATAGCTGCCTGATACACATCCTAATGAAAGTATTAGAGCAGTAATTTAGCAGCTTGTTTAAATCATAAAATAATTAAACTACCTTTATTTGAAGGGCAGCTGTTTTGTAGCATGGAGGTAACATTCTTTCCCATGTTGCATTCTTTCCCATTTTTTACTAGATTAATTGCAAGAATACTTCTGACTATTGAAATATGTAAGTCTTCCTACTGCTGCTCAGAGCTTAACGTTTAAAAAAAAAGAACTTCAAAGTGAATGTATCTGCACTAAAATGTGAATAAATTAAATGGTGGTAAACTTTAGCACAGAATCTGTAAAGTTGCTAGGCAATACCTTATCTCCTTCCAAAAATATAAGTCCCTGAAAAACAGGAAATACAGGTTAAGACTTCGCTTATGTTTTCTTTGGGTGATGCCTGCATATCAGTAAGGCAATATTAAATTTGCCTTCAGCAACATAGACAAATATTGGCTTTGGGCTTACAGTTTATGCATTTTGGGAGAGAATGCAAATAAAAACTTCATACTGGAGAGAATGTCGTCGTTCTTGTGGGTAGACACAATAGTATGATTCAAATGAAGCCCTGTTTTCCCAGAGGCATCGCACTGCCGCGTTGGGTCTCTTGCCTCTGTGGTAGCAGTTTCCCACTTCCACAGCCACCTGGAAATGTTCTGGGCTTGCAAGGAGAGAGGGAGGAGAGAGAGGATCCCTGGCACCTGCTGCTGCAGCCTGCCAAAGGACTTCTTTATTTGTATGAAAGATGAAGGCAGAACACAAACAGTGGCTACTTTTCCATTTCTGTTTATACTTCTGTATGTTTCTCTTATTTTACTGGCAGTGTTCTGAAGCCCCAGATGTTGTGCTTGGGAAATCCTTCTTTTCTTTCTCATCTTGAAGTTTTAGGACTTATATATGCTACTTATTTAAATGGAAGTGGAGCAGAGTTGCCACCTTGCCCTTTCAGGTCTCGTTCAACCCTGAAGTGAACACTGTCAGTGGGAGAAGCTTTGTGAGAAGCTTTAGTGTGGGAAATAATGAACAGTTACCAATAATGTAGCAATTTCTTTAGTGCTTTGTTCTGACTAGTGAAGAAGTTTGATTTTGGTATCCATTTAGTGTTTTTCTTATAACTAAACCAAAAATCCAGGGGCAGTCTAACTGTTCTTTTAGTGTACTGAAAAATTTCTGGTTTACTTTATTTATGCTGGTGGACTTAAAGTGGAGCCTCTGCAGTGTCCAGGCGAGCATGTTCAGGTAGGTTTCTCTGCCACTCATACAAGTTGTTCACACTCAGTGACCCCAGTATATTATGTTAAATCACACAATTAATGATACAACTTTGTCCATGTATCGGACAATTTAAGGACATTTAGCTTCCTGTTTTTCAAAAGTTTTGTGACATTTTCTTCAGCTTCCACTGGTAAAACTTTTCAGTGTAGTTCAAATCTGTTACAATTCACTTCACATTTACTTGGGAATTTAAGTTTTTCAAAAGCAGGTAACTAGAAGAGCAAACATCAAACAACTGGTTCTAAAAGTCCCTTGGAGTGTGATTTTGCTGTAGAAAGGAACAATGCTAATTTAAAAGCACAGTTTCTCTAGGACTAGTGTGGCAGTCCAGAGAKGAAAATGTACAGGTGTCATCTGCATAATTGGCATTTTTAGAGGGCTGTGACAAAAGATAGATTTACATGAATGAAGGCATTAAGAGGTCGGGATTAAGTGCTATATATTGTGGTATAGTTTCTCAAATTTATGTTTCTCTTTCTCAGGGACATCATGATAACATATTTTGAACCTTCCATCTCCTTTGAGGGACTGTGCAGTGAAGTCCGAGACATGTGCTCCTTTGACAAYGAACAGCTTTTCACCATGAAGTGGATTGATGAGGAAGGTAAAGGGATACTTGATGCCTGCTCTTTAAATGCATTGCCTAGCTTTCCAGCTCTCTTTGATCTCTTCCTCTCCTCCTCCCTTCACCTATATTAGATAAGCTGTGTGTTCTTAATGAATCTGAGTACAAAAACAATGCCCTTGCAAATATATGTTAATAAAAAGATAGTTATTTCAAACCATGTAGTGGGATATTTTTAACCAAATAAAAGCTAAGTGACTACCAGCATTAGGATTTATATTGGAAAGGTTTAGGAAGAGGTCCTTTATGTTGCTGAAGAAATCGGTGATTCACTTGCATATTGAATATTCTGCACATTCTTGGTTCCTCCCATACKTAAAAGAAGACAGTGTACCGCCTTTACGTTTTTTAACTATTTTTTTAACCTCAGGGTTAAATTCCTGACAATATTGGAGAAGCTATGAAAATAGAATGGAGTTGGTTTCAAGTAACATGTTAAGGTGTTTTTTTAATAGCATGCATCTCATGTGCTGAAATAATATGTAATTATACTTGCAGAAAAACAAATTAGTGATACTGTGATTATCATCTGCTTGCCTCTTGGAAATATCTCAGATTCTTATTTCCATTTGAAAACATTTTGATATAGCTATTTTCAGAGACTATCTTGACAATATAAATATGGTCAGAGATTAAAATATAGCTGTTTTTTTCTAGAATGTTGCACTGAACAACTGTGAGGAGGCAATATTGAATAGCACACYGCTCACTAGGCTGAGTTTTGTATTCTCTTTTCTTTCTTCAGGAGATCCGTGTACAGTTTCCTCTCAGCTGGAGCTGGAAGAAGCCTTTCGGTTGTATGAACTAAACAAGGATTCAGAGCTTCTAATTCACGGTATAGTGAAATCAAATGCATTACTTCTGATCTTTGTACCTCCAAAACGTGGATATTTTAAGCCTATGTTATCTATGCCTTTTGCTGTAATTCAGCCGCCTCAGTGAAAGCCTCTTTGGTCATTCGGTCAGGAGAATGTTGAAGACCACACACCAAATCTTAGCTGCTAGTACTTAGTACTCTTTATGCAATTAAAGGAGGAAAAACTTATTTTGCTATTGCTTTATATATAAACCAAAGATAAAAATGAAAGAGAGCTTCCATTTACTGAGTGCTTTCTTRGGCTTGCTGATGATGAATGGTAGAATGTATATTGTGCAGTGTCCTAGCACTCTGTTCTTGCTCAGTGTTGTCAGCAGGCAGCATCTGTATAAGAAAAAGGAATTGGAAAATTTGCAGTACTTTGCTTTCCCTCTTGAATGAAGAGAACATTTTTCAGCTTCCTAATCCAGTTGGAATTTAGCGTTTTTCTTACGWTATTTAGGCTTGGATATCTTATGGTGTTGTAATTACTGCTTTCATTCTTCCTCCCAACTTCCAGTCTTTTAAGAAGTGGAAGACAAAGAGAATTTCATCTATTTTATGCTTTTCAGTTACCCCCTCTCCATTTGTTTGGGTTTGGTAGGCTTCTGATAAAGCCAACACCAGAGCTAATTCCACCCATAGGATACAAAAGTGGATTTACTTCTCTCTGAGTGTTTTGGAGGCTGAATAAGCTGAGTAAAGGGTGAATGTGGACAAGATCCTATCTGCCATTTAGTACATTGCAGTATAATGGATTTACAGCCAAGCTTTCCAAAGATTTGGAACAGTTTTTGACTGATTGTAACATTTAGTCACATGAGAAACTAGCATCGGTACTGGTTGATAGTTTCCTTCCTTAGGAAAAAACTTAGTGTATTCTATGGTACTACTTTTCATGTGATCACTGCTATGAGCATAGGGAACTGTGGCAGCTTTTTGCCTCACTTGCTGTTGCACAAAGTTTTGTTAAAATGCATTCTGTGTTGTCTTCCTAAATGGTTGAATGCCTTTCAGAGTCATTGTGTTCCATCCAAAGGTTTATTTCCTGACTGTAATAAAGATTAATCTGAAGTTAATGTTTTTTTCTTACAGTATTTCCTTGTGTACCAGAACGTCCTGGAATGCCTTGTCCTGGAGAAGATAGTAAGTAGACATTTTAGTGGAGGAGTACAGAAAATCAGGAATTCAAATTTCCTTTTCTAGAATATTCTGATATTCTGTGCTTTTGTTTTCTATAGTGAATGTCTTTATGAAAATAAGTAATTCAAATGTCTGCAACTTTAAATATTTAAAATGAGTGAAAAGACTTACTAAACTTAAATGTTCTTGTTTGTCATCCTGAGTCATTGTTAATAAAGCATTTCACATTCCTGTTAGCTACACATGCCGCTCTGTCTTTCTGCCTTCCTTGCTTTTGGCTCTTCTCTTAACTGTTTTATACTGTTCGTGTTTCTTTGTTATTTGCCAGGTCATTTGCCAAGTCATATTAGATAAAGTTTTTTTTCTCTATTATAATACAGGCTTCTATGCACTTGATACTCATTTTATAAAAGAGCATGTATGTGTGCGTATACATCTGTCAGCTTGGTATCAAAGCCTCGGACAAATGTAAAATACATACTTAAGTTAGCTGCATATTGGCAGTGTTGGTGGTGATGATTTTTTTCAAAGGAAAAAAAAAGAGCTTGTAGGCTATATCTGAAATAGATTTGCAATTTAAGGTGTAAATGGGTCTGGGTTCCTGTTATGCTTGTAATGGTGGCAGCTGTGAATGCTCCAAAACATTGGAGGATTCCTGCAAGCAGACTTAAAAAATCAGGGCATGCTGCTCAAATTCACCTTCTTTCTTTCTTTCCTTTTCCTCACGTCTCCTCCCCAGGTTTAAATAAGATRGTTGCAAATTTTGCATGCCAGTATTTGTATTATTTGGACAGTTTTCCTTTCCTTGATTCACTGTTTCTTTTAATTATGGAAAAATTGAAATAACTCAGAGTTGATCAGGAAATTGTTAAAATTTTGAAGCAAATTTGAAATAGAAAGTACTTGGAACCTTACTTTGTGTTAATGTAAGGTTACAGGAATGAAAAATTACTCTGCAAATGGCTTCGTGTAGAGGTGTCCATTGGAAGAATGCCATAGTTCTGTATTTGTATTTTTCTGGCTATAATCATATGTTTTTCCTCTTAGAATCCATTTATCGCCGAGGCGCCCGCCGGTGGCGAAAGCTGTATTGTGCAAATGGGCACACTTTCCAGGCCAAAAGATTTAACAGGGTGAGARTCTTGGATACTTAACAGCAGTGTAATAGAGATGTCTCTTTTGTGTACTCATAATGTTACTGCCTTGAAAGATTAGAAGGTAGATTTATTCTGAAGAAACTGGATTTTGCCTAGTGTAATATCAAATAACTATTCCTACTAATCTTTTTTTTTTTTTTTTTTTAATTCAAAAAAGTGTCATGAAATCAATGAAGCACTTTGCTTTGGTTGTTTGCCTATAGAAGTTTATAATCTATAGTTCTGAGACTTCTGGAAATGCTGGAGTTTTAGAAAACTTGGTTGCTAATAAACTATTAGGCACTTTAAAAAAAAAAAAAAAAACTTGCACATTACCACATACTCTGAAATGACGATACCAACTTTATAAATGCACCTTTGTACCCTTAAAATCTTATTAGAGGGCAAACTTCAATACTGGCAATAGATGACTGTGGGCTTTTGAAATGCATGTGCAATTCTTAAGTTCCAGGAGTGGAAAAAGTCTGAAAGGTGCTTAAGACACATGGATTTTTCTTTCAAACAAGCTGAGATGGCTCTGTAAATAATATGCTTACATTGGCATGTAGTCAGTTGAAAATAACAGATCATTTGTAAAGATTTTAAGAAACAACAATCAAAACTATTTAAATAAGGATTGGGAAGAGCTTCTACTCTATTCAAACAAAATCAAATTTGAATAGCTCAGGTTCCTTCTTGCCTTCCTATAATCTTTCATTCTCTCTAAGCTCATTAAATGCATYGTGTGCTAAATAATGCTTGAGGTCTGTGTACCAGAACTCATCTTGGGAATTCTTCATACCTAGCTTGTAGTCTTAAAGAATGCTCTGTGAAGCACTTGTTGACCTCTTTGTGGCCAAAGGCTGTCAAGGCACCACTGTTTATTCATTTTTCTCTCTTGCTTTGTAGGCAACATGTTTCCATGATTCTTTCAAGTTGTTTTGTGAATGTTACTTACTGGGTGGCGATTTCCCCATTTCTTGTTACCCAGAGCCCTTGCTGTTCTGCTTTTCTCCCAGCAAATCTAAGGATTTATGTCTGTGGATGGGTTCTGAGGCATGTAACAAATTAGCAATAGCCTGCTGATATAGCTGCCCTGCTTTTGAATTGACCAGTGTCTGGCTGGGTCCCTGAGCAGCAGAAGCAGCTGGCTGTGCTTGCCTCTGTACACGTGGCCGTACCTTCCATGTACAGCAGCTGCTGCTTATTGTCCAGCTCTAACTTGTGAGCTCTTCTGTGTTGCACCTGCCTTTGCTTATGTTGCAAATCTCTGAAGTAGAAACATTTTTGATGTAATAGCAAATTCAGTAGAAATCTTTGTGCTATCCTGTGTTATTCAGTAATGAAAATGTGATTGAAAAGTTCTTACAGTTCAGCTTTGATTTTTTTTAATCAATTTTGTTGATTTGTCATTCTAGCGAGCTCATTGTGCCATCTGCACTGACCGAATTTGGGGTCTGGGTCGCCAAGGATATAAATGCATCAATTGTAAACTCCTTGTTCACAAGAAGTGTCACAAGCTTGTCAGTATTGAATGTGGTCGCCATACACTACAGCCAGTAAGTAAAACTTATCTGAAAAGTTATCTATAAAAAGAGCCTGTTTTATACTAACAGTTTTCAAACTATCTGCAATTAATTACTGAATATGAAACTTAAAGGCTTATAATTTTGTATGGCTACTCTGACACTTTGCAAGAAAGTTTGAGAATCATAAATATAGTGACAAGATGGGGGTATCTTCTTGCATCTGGTACTTTTTTGGTCAGAAATAAACATAACTGATACTTCCATCATCCTTTTCTATGTTATGTACTGAAAATCAGCTATTTTATATTATCAAAGTGAAGTACAAATAAAATCTAATAACATATATTGGGTTATTAGACTATTACTCATCTTACAGAAATGAAAAATGAGGCAAAGAATTTGAAACTTCTCCTGTGAGATTGTCATCCTCAGTCCCTAGAAAAAATCAGATGAATGCCACTTTCAAATTAATATTATTAAATATCAGACAGCTGGAAAGCTATATGCTGTGAATTCATTTGACTGACATACGCACTGCTAAGCTACGTAGCAGGCATTGATGTCACTTGAATTTTTCTGTGCCTCATTTTTTGTCTGCTATATTTCCCTCTCTTGTATTAAGCTTTCATTTCAGCAGCTTCTGGAACTTAYCTAAACCTTGGGAAAACCTAAACCTGGGAACCTAAACCTATCTAAACCTGGGAAAAATGATGGAATAAGGACTGTAGTTGTTTCTTTTAACATGTATGGATTTTAACAGCATCCATATTGATCGACCAAGGTTAAAGTTAATTGGAGTATGTTCCTTGGGGATAATTTGTCTCTAACATTTATTTTCTCACTTTGGCAGTTGTTACAAAAAGATGCAATTATTAACTCATCTGCTTTGTAAAAATCATTGTTTTTCATATTTTTAGGAACCAATAATGCCTATGGATCCATCATCAGTGCATCCAGATAATGTAGAATCAGGTAAGATATTAGTGGTTTTTTTTTTTTTTTTTTTTTTTAAATTAAGTAGCTGAAACATGAATTTGGGGATTTAAAATGAAACAGATTAAACCAAATACTTAGAAGATGCTTGCTTCTGCTCACAGAATGTGAAAAAAGTCTGCTGTTATATTAAGGACGATATAAGCACAAAAATCCTGCAGTTGTCCATAACTTACAAATCAAGAAACTGCAACTTTGGAATCAAAATTCTTTGTTTTTGGTGCACTTTTTCTATCAGTGAGCTCTATGTTTTAAATGTCTCAGTTAAGGAAATGGATAGATTTGCTGTGGGAGAAAAAATAGCAGCATCTCTACTGATCAGTTTAATTCCTGTAAGCAATCACAAGGATATCCMAGACACTTGAACTGGGATATTTATAGTAACTCAAGAGAAAGATTTTTACACAGAATTCTTTCTGTGTGCAGAATTAAACTTAATTTGAATAGATCTCAAAGCGCAATGCTAAGCTTTTATATGAGAACTAACTGATGRCTTGAAGACAAAAGAGCACCAGATTTGTGTTCACAATAGATGCACTTTAATTGCTGATGCCTTTGATCCAGATCTTGTGTGTGAAAATTTCAGGGCAATAGAAAAATACTCTCATGTCTGGTAGATCTAATGATCTTTTTTTTTTCTTTCTCCTCTAGTGATTCCATATAATCCCTCAAGTCATGAGAGCTTGGATCATGTTGGTGAGGAGAAAGAGGTAAAATACCGTATAACAAACTGTAGTCAATATTAAGTGYCCATCTGCCCTAATTGTCAGAATTAAAAAAAAATTAAATTGTCAAAAACTGAAAGCTTGTACATGAAACACGTGTGACTTGCAAGCTCTTTTCTTTTGAGTCGTAAGTTTAGATGTGCTTTTGATTCAGAAAATACTGCAAATTTTTCTCTTCCTCCTTCCTTCTCATATACCTTTTTGTGACAGTACTGTTTTAAGAAGTGCTAGTTTGTTTACATTAAYTTTGCTGCTCTATTTGAAATGCCAACTTTACTTAAAAAACAAAATCCTACACAGTTATTAAAATTGKTAAGTCTGCTCACTAATTTCAAAATATCTCTATCAACAGGCAATGAGTATTAGAGAAAGTGGCAAAGCTTCCTCCAGTCTGGGTCTTCAGGATTTTGATTTGCTCCGAGTTATAGGAAGAGGCAGTTATGCTAAAGTACTGCTTGTTCGATTAAAGAAAACTGAACGCATTTATGCAATGAAAGTGGTGAAAAAAGAACTCGTCAATGATGATGAGGTAGGCAAGGTTTTATCTATAAATTGGGCAGCTCTTTTGAATAGTTTCTATACATATCATAATTGGGTAGCCAGAGCTTCTGAGTTTGCAACATTAAACAAGAGGTATGCATTATACATTCATTTTCTTGCAAATGCTGTGCTCTGAAAGTATCAGGTAGCGCTCACAAGGTTCGCAGTGAACATCTCAAATTTGGTAGCTGATATCTCGGAAGAATCCTCCAGTGGCTTCTCTCAAGAGCCTCATTGCYTCAGCCTCTCCTGTCACTCACCTTTCATTGTCAGCAGTCTGTGGAGAAGCGCTCATGCAGAATTCAAGTGAGAGTAAGCCTGGCTTACCTCCTTATACTGGGGCAGTCTCCCCTTTTTTCCCTGTTATTTCTGGGACAGAAAAAAATATAGATAAGGTCCTTCTATCATATGTTGCAGAGGWGAACCTTGTGAAGTTGTTTTAATTGCTCTTTAAATTGGACCTTCATTTTAACAATTTATTTGTAGCTTAGAGTGTTAATGTGTTAGTGGAAACTTGTCAGAAATTGCAACATTTGAAAGCTAAATGTCATTTTGCTAAATTTCTTTTAAGTTTCTTTAGGCCACTCTGAAATGATTAAATAACTATGATTTATTGTCCAAGAACTTTCCCATTCATTCCTAGTTTTACCATGGATTCTTTTGGCATTTCTTGTCGTTACTTTGTATTTATCTGCACCATTATCTGCACTTGTTATAGATTAAAAGTGTTAATTCACAAGTTATGCAATAAGGCTAAAAGTTCAGTACATCAATGTTAGCAGGAGAAAAAATACTTGATTATATCTTACTTGGTGTTGGAGAACCAACATGGTATTTATTGTAATAAAATTCAGCCTGSAGAAGAGGAGGCTGAGGGGGGACCTGATCAGCGTGTATAAATACCTCAAGGGAGGCAGTGAGGAGGAGGGGGGCGGCCTCTTTTCAGTGGTGGGCAGGGATAGGACTAGAGGAAATGGCTTCAAACTGAAGCATCGCAAGTTCCACAGGAACTTAAGGAAGCATTTCTTCACTGTGAGGGTGACAAAGCACTGGAACAGGCTGCCCAGAGAGGTTGTGGAGTCTCCTTCTTTGGAGATCTTTAAAACCCGCTTGGATGCAGCCCTGTGCCACGTGCTCTAGGTGACCCTGCGTGWGCAGGGGGGTTGGACTMGATGACCTCTGAGGTCCCTTCCAACCTTCGGCATTCTATGATTCTATGAAAATGAGAAATGGAAAACACTTGAAAATTTCTGCTGTCAGTATTTTACCTACATACAATATGCCTTTTCTGATTATAGCTTTTCTTAAATAGGATATTGATTGGGTTCAGACAGAGAAACACGTCTTTGAACAGGCTTCAAATCATCCTTTTCTTGTTGGACTACACTCTTGCTTCCAGACAGAAAGCAGGTAAAGGTCAGAAGATAATAAGAAAATACTCATCTATTCAAAGAAAAAGTTTGATACTGCTAGGCACCTCAATAACCTTTTTAATTTGTTTTAAGTACTGTCTAGGTATTAAAAGTCAATGTACTGTCAATCACTAGCACTTTTTGAGCAAAACACCTTGTTCATCATGTGCACATTTCAGATTAGGGAAGTAAAAGACAGTGTGAAGTACTAGTAGTTATAAAGGGAACGATCCTGTGACAAGGAGAGTTACAGCCAGCAAAAGAGAAGAGGCTTGAGATTGAGATAGAAAGCAGCCTAGAGTGGGAGAAGATACTGTTATGAGGTTTTCTGTATTTGCTTGGGTCTTTTTGTTCATTTAAAAAAAAGAAAAAAATAACTGATCTGAAAATTGCATAGATTCTCTGCAGGTGAGGAAGCATCAGAATAGCATTAGAAGCATACAGCAAGCATCAGAAAATACTGTCTGAATTTTAAAATGCAAAGCAGTGTAATAGAGATGGAAGTAACAATCTTTTCTGCATGTTTACATAGAGAAATTGTTATAGATGAAAAATGTACCTTTCTATACAGTGATATACCTCCATATAAACAAAGTATAATTATCCTGTATTTAAAATATTTAAGTAGTCCTTGCTCTTTAAAAGATAATAGGCTGGTGTTGGGAAGTGAAGGGAGAAGATATTTGTAAGATATTAATAATAATAGTCATAAACAAAGCAGACAGCGAGGATCATGGAAAAAGGAAGATGGAAGGTTATTGTGTTTTGATGTGTGCATACAAAAAAATTACGTGAATGACTTTATATATTTACATGCAGTATAATAGCAAACAGTAATTATAATGAATTAGAAATGTGGGAAGAATGACTAGCAATTCCTTTTGCAGTAAAGGAATTTTCCAGAGAAATTTGATGCAATTGATTCTTAACTTTGGGTATTTGTTGAAGGGAAGGAGGAATGGAAAAACCAGCTTTACTACCAGAGGATGGGAGGAATAAGAGTGACTAGTTGTTCAGTAGTAGCCGTGTAATGTGTCAAACCTTGGGTCAATAAGGAAGCCTCTCAGCTCTGTGTACCACCATTGGAACAACCTTTTGTGTGTTTCAGGCTGTTTTTTGTTATAGAGTATGTAAATGGAGGAGATCTAATGTTTCACATGCAGAGGCAGAGAAAACTGCCGGAGGAGCATGCCAGGTATGTTTCATTTCAGTTTCAAAACAGTTGTTTTTTTCCTGACACAAGGCAGTAATGCAGAGATTATGGTAACAAGCTAGCAAATCCTGGCCAGATGTTACAGATTTAGGCAATGTGAAACTGCATCCTTGTTTTGATGACACAAGCTACAATGCTTTTGTTTCAAGAAAGAATGTTAGTAGGAAGCACTTAAGAATTGTTTGTATTAGCATTACCCTAGATGACTTCAGCCTGGTGCAGAATATTTTTCTTAAAAAGGTGTTTACGTTGTTAAAAGATACCATTAAACTTGTTTCTTTTGCAACAACCAATACCAGCTGTCTAGGCAAATGTTGAGTTCTTGGTGCATATGTTTCATCTCAGATGGTGAGATGAAAGGGATGATTTCAGTAGAAATTAAAACTAATTAAAAGGAAAAAAAAATTTAAATTACTATGGGTAGACACTTCTGTATGATTATGGGCAAATTATGCATTTTCCTGGTGAAAAATACTGATTGAACCCCTGAGGTCCTATTTAGAGAACTATCACACTACCAAGACTTTATTTGGTTTGTTGATTCTCCTTTTTTTTTTTTTTTTTTTTTTTTTATGACTGGGGGATTTGAGTAATTAATATCTTTCTCTCTTCTAGGTTTTATTCTGCTGAAATCAGTCTAGCATTGAACTATTTACATGAACGGGGGATAATCTACAGAGATTTAAAACTGGATAATGTACTACTAGATTCTGAAGGGCATATTAAACTCACAGATTATGGCATGTGCAAGGTAAGCTCTAGTTCCTTCCCAACCTAAAGTTAACAATTAATAAATTTTCATAAATTATAGCATGCAGAAACTTAAAAATGTGAAATTTCCATGTTGTCCATTTTTACGTAATCCAGATAGGTCATATATACTCATTTCAGTGCTACAAATGACAAGAAAGGAAGTGAGAAGAAATGAGTGTAACATCAGGCTGTTCAGACTGTATATAAATATGGTTATGCAAAACATCTGTTTTACCACAACTTGACCAAAAAGGGTAGACTGAAATAATCAAGAGAGAGGCTTGATTTAAAAATTARCAAGAGATTGAATTATGTCAGTCCTCTTTAGACTATGGAAGTGACCTACTTCTGTGTAATCTCTGGCAACTCACATGGCCTCGCCTGGAATTTGTAATAGTTTTGCTGTGTGGTTGCCTTGGCAGAAAGGGGAGGCAAATTTAAACTATAAAGAAGAGGAAAACCAAGAGTGCTTTTATAACTGACTTTTTTTTTCCCCTCCTTTGGAAAACTGTAATTGTGGGTGGTTTGTTTGTTTGGTTTGGTTTTTCATCTAAAGAGCACATTCTGCGCAGTAGAATAGATTTATACACAGCTCATTGTGATGGGTATTTTTTATTAAAGCGTTTAATGAGGTGTTTAGTGCCTTAAATTCATTAAGAGATTGAACAGGTTCTYATCTGAAGAGACCTTCATGACAAATATGGGTAATGATGCTCTATCCATGTATTTCTTCTTAAAGCAGTAGTGTTTTATATTCAGTTAGACACAGACTTGTGGATAAATTTAAATGTCCTGCTTTTGTTTCAGTAAATTGGTACAAAATGCAGTTCTTAGCAGAGGAGGAGCGTGGAATTTCTTGCTAACTGTGAAGCATTTATTTTCTCCTTATTTTTTTTTTAAGGAAGGGCTAAGGCCTGGAGACACAACCAGCACATTCTGTGGGACTCCAAACTATATTGCTCCTGAAATTCTCCGGGGAGAGGATTATGGTAATTAGAATTTTTCAGTGCTGCTGTCTGACCTCCTGCCTGTCTTGTAAATTCTAACTCAAATTGCTTAATAGTGGTAGAGATTTTAGTTCTCTATTACATAGGTAATCTATGTAATGCAACATCCTGTCTCAAAAAGTAAATAAAYACTTCAAAGGCAGGGCAGGAAACATCTTGCCAAGCAAGTGAGATAATCTGTCTTTCATGTTTTAAGTTGTTTTTATCAGTCTTGCAGAAACGCATGAGTCTTCCAAAATTTGTCACCCATCATAATTATTTTAGATGATCTTAATTTAAGATAGCAAGTATATCATTGTTTGCTTTTAGACTTTAATATTTGACTGCTCTGATAGTAAAAATAGATAAAAGCATTGCAGAAAGATGAAATAATGAACATTCCTTGTACAAATGTTCACATTAAAAGTGARATTTTCTATGCAGCTCCTAGTTTAAACTGAATGCCTGACTAGCTTAACATYATCATCTTTATCACAAACTTCCCAGGCCAAGCACACTGCATCCCTAGCTACTGGAATCTTTTTCTTTGATCGTGAATGATAGACTAGCCAGGGACAGCTGTATAAATGTCTGTCTCTCTACTTAGTATCAAGAATTACCTTCTTCCCTGTYGCCCTCTGCCCCGGTTAATGTAGTGTTAGTATAGATTTGGCTTAAATACATTATCTAAGCCTCTGTTAAGACTGTAACACCAATTTTTTAACTTTGCATTTCTTCTTTTGTGCAACGTGCTCTTCCATCCTGTAGCGAGCATGATAAGCCAAGGAATACCTATTAMAATTGTTACCCCTGCTCTATTCATTAATCCTTAGAAATTTAAGTAATCAGAATGATTGKCAATGTTTAGATTTTTGAAATAATTATTCTTGAAACATGTCTTTAATTAGCACAAAGTGTTTCCTAAAAGTGTTTTGCCCTATGATGTTTTTTTGGTTTCTAGGCTTCAGTGTAGACTGGTGGGCACTGGGTGTACTTATGTTTGAAATGATGGCAGGCCGGTCACCGTTCGATATTGTTGGAAGTTCTGACAATCCTGACCAGAACACAGAAGACTATCTCTTTCAAGGTAAGCAGCAGTGAGTGATTACACTGCTTTAGTGCTTTGTTTCTACRGATCATTATCTGAATTCAGGTGTGCAAAGTCTGATACAAAGCTTGTTTTCTTGCAGTCATCTTGGAAAAACAGATACGAATTCCCCGATCTCTTTCTGTTAAAGCAGCAGGTGTTCTGAAGAGTTTCCTTAATAAGGTAAAGACTAATCCAGACTGTTTAAGAGATTTCAAGTTATTTTTAAATTTGTTTTTTAACATAATATACTTTATTTGTTGTCCACAGAAGCTGTAGAAAGGTGTGAGCCTGAAACAGAATTTTACAGGGAGCAGGAGGAGGGCCTAACACCTGAAAAAAAAAGACTTAGTCTGGGATGGGGTGAAATAAAATGGTTTAGAAATTCCCTTGTCCTGAACAGTTTCTCCACTTCCCTGGGTAAAGTTTATCAGTCTTTTTGAACTACGAACATTGTTGTAGAGGTGCTTATGTGAAAGCAAAGTGAAATCATTTTAAACAACAGATTAATTATGTAGTTCTTTAAAAAAAAAAAAAAAAAAGTGTCAGTATTGTTTGTAAATTTTTCTTAGTGATGTGCTACTTATTTATCGCCTTAACTAAGAAAGCTCTGTTTCACTTGCATAAGAGGCTTATCATTGTTGCCCTCTTGAAGTTGGTTATTTTCCTTCTTTTCTCTGATACTGATGGCTGTCATGTTGCAGTCTCTTAGAAAAGAAGTCTTGCTTAAAATAATCTTCTTTAAACTGTACGTTCCAGTAACCTGCAGTTACTATTCTGAGRTTGTTGGTATAGTTAGATGGCCTGCTTAGGAGGGGAAAGAGAGAGCCAAATTTAAGAAGGATTCCTCTGAAACTTACAGGATGTTTAAGCAGGCCTTAAAAAAAAAAAAAGAGGATGAGATGATTGTTTGTATATAATTCAGTTATAGGCTTCAATATTTTCCTGTCCGATTCCAAAGACAAATCGGAGCAGTTTCCAAAATATTCCTAACTTGCTTACCAGGTGCACCGAAGAACTCTTTGTGTTCCATTTCTCATGGAATTTGAAACATTTTGAAAGACTTATGTTTTATCATTGTGTAGTCCTTGGCACCCATGTAGATAATATTTTCTTTGCGCAGGATCCAAAGGAGCGTTTAGGCTGCCACCCTCAGACGGGATTTGCAGATATTCAGGGACATCCATTTTTTCGCAATGTTGATTGGGATTTGGTATGTGAATTCCTACTGGCTTATTTTTTCATGTACAGTGGTGGTTTGCCAATTTGTAAGCTGAGGAATGACAGAAAAAAAATCGTAACTCTTAAGCTTTTAACTGGTTCATTACATAGAAAATGCAGAAAATCTTAATCCTTTTACATTAAAGTAAAACGAGTAAATAGGATGTTTGCAAAGTACACAAAAAAAAAAAAAAMCAGTTAATTCTTGCCGTGTTTAAAAATAATAAGTTGTAACCCAGTCTTGGTGTCACTGTCTCTTTAGATGGAACAAAAGCAAGTGGTTCCTCCTTTTAAACCAAATATATCTGGAGAATTTGGTCTGGATAACTTTGATTCCCAGTTCACCAATGAACCTGTACAGCTCACTCCAGACGATGAGTAAGTAATGAAGAATTTAAACAAAWGATGTCTTTAAGTCAGTGAAGAAGTTACAAGACTTCATTTGACTACATCTGTTTATGGTTCAGAGTTTATGTAAGGAAGGAAATAACATTTTCTCATTGTTAACTTGGAATATTCCATCTTGTGATCTCAAGATAGACTCAGTATAGGCTGCTTAAATGTACTGTGGCATGATATAAAAATCAGCTAACAGTGGGGAAGTTGCTATAAAGAATTTGAGTTCAAGGAAGGATGAATAAGTGCTATTTTACAAGTTTTATTGGTATCATCTGCAAGTAACAGATGTGTGAAAGAAAAGACCTGTTTTGCCATGTGGCTCTCTTCTGAACTACTTTAAGTCATGATATTTCTAGAATGTGGAGTTCACATTGAATTTTTCTTGGGTGTTTTATACAGGAAAGGATGTTTCTTGAGGGTGGGTGGAAGGGGCTTGTCCGGGTATTTTAATCAGTAGTAAAATAAGGTTGTCCTGACTGAAAAACATTGATAGGATGCAAGATAATGTATGTGATTCTAGCAGTGGAGTTGTGGCTCCCCACGCCATGATTTGGAGTGGATAGGAAAGGGACTCTGGTTTCACTGAACCCCTYTTGTGTCTATTTAGTAATTCTTCAAGGTTCTATATAATGTATGTATAATATAGAAACAGGAACAGTGATTATTAAAAGTTCATTGAGCTTTATTTAAGTCTGAGATCTGATCTCCTCCTTCATTCCTTTGTAATGTGTAATGTTTCAACAGAGGTTAAAGAMATGCTAATTGAAGAGTAGTATCATATCCTATTTTAATCTTTTACAAAAATGAAAAGTTTTACAAACCTTAGGGTGCTTTGTGCAKAGAACACGTGCATGAGAGTAACCAAATCATTGCTTGTGAGTGGTTTTGTGTTTTGTTAACCTGTATAGAGACCAGAAAAAATAGCAGTATTTGAAAGAGAAGAAGAAAAAAAGAGAGAAGTATTTGAGAGGAAGCAGAGGGACAGATAAGGCACAAGAGAGGGGAAATTTCTGAATTGCAATCGACTAAAGTTAAAGGCAAACTATCAGTTAATATTGCTATATTTTAATATTGATGAACTAACTTTTTTTTTTTTAATCTTTATAGTGATATTGTGAAGAAGATTGACCAGTCTGAATTTGAAGGCTTTGAATATATAAATCCTCTTTTGATGTCTGCTGAGGAATGTGTCTGAGTTATCCATTTCTGGACTGTGCCAATTGCTACCGTTTGGTTCTGCATGGATAAATATCTCTCCATTTGATGCAGTTGCATAAAATGAATAACTAAATATCTTACTCTTGCCACCTAGTGTGGATTACTCACTATTTTCTTTTGGTATTAATTGTCATCCTGAACAGTTGTTATGTTGGACCTCGGGCTGCCAGCAGATGAAAAACATAAATTTCCCAATAGTTTTGCCAAACTTGAACTTTAATGTAGAAGTTGTTCTGCAGGATTCCTGACTGAACAAGGGGATCTGGCTGTACAATTAGCCAGTGCAGCATTCTGTTAAAGGAAACTTTTGTTACTGCTTTAAGAATACAAATTGCATTAGGGAACATACTAAATATCCTTAAAGGGCTTCTATTTTTGCAGCAAGACAAATAAGACCTCATGACTTCTGTAGAGCTAAATCTGTCCTATCTGAACATCTGATTTCTGTGTTCTCCTTTGACTCTAGAAGTTGCAGGTAAATTATTGCCCTTTAAATGACGGTAAGGAGAACAGTTTTTTAAAACTCCATAGGTCAAGAAAGACTGTTTTCATAGTGTGTATTGATTCTGTCTGCAAAGGAGTAGATTAACATTAGAATGGATAGGTTTGGGTACTGAATTACACACTATGAATTGTATGTGGCTTTTGACATTTGAACAGCGAGTGCCTTTCTGAGCCTGTCCCTTTCAGCAAGGGTTGTACGTGGTATCAAGTGTCAGTTTAAATAACTAGAATTCAATTAATACTTTTTAAAATGAAAATCTGTAGAGTGTAAATTAGCAGAAATTGGCAGCTAATTTTGAAGAATGTAGGACCTCACACTATTATTTATTGCTTTTACATTTTCTGTCTTACTGTATGGGTATGTTACAGCTATGGTCTAGATAAGGGCATTGTTTCCTATTATCTGATTGCCATACTGCTGGCAAGGCATTTCACTTTGCCAGTGGGAAAAGCACATCTGTAAAAAAAAATAGGTGCTGTCCACAATGACTCCTTTAACTTTTTCCTCTATAGTAATTTGTAATCACAATCAAACCTTAAGTATTGGTAGTAAGTGCAAAGTTAGTTATAAAGCAGTTGGTGGGAGTAAATAGAACAATTCAAAATAGGAGATAAGGGTAGAGTGATTCTTACATTTCATATCGGTAAACAGTGTAATATACAGCACAACTAATTCTTATTTTTAATGTTTGAGGAATACTTTTGAATGTCTTTGACTGGAGAAATGCCAAATGTACCACTTTTCTGCGGGGAGGGAGGGACTTAAGACACTGAAGAAAATCTGTATTACATAATGAAAAGTTGTAAGGTAAGATACCTGTTGGTGAAAGTGGATTTAACTGTATGTAAACACTAGTTAGAAAACTTTAGATAAAGCTTTTAATAAGATTTTTGCCTGGTCAGTGTCTTTCCTTGAAAATACTTATGTAGTGAAACTAAATATATAGCACATCTTCCTTTATTTTTATTTTTTATTTATTGGTGATACTTGGCAATATGAGTAGCAAATTCTTCTAGAAGTATTGGGCCAAATTTTCAAAACAGAGGAGTGATTGGAGGTGCCTCCATTTTAGGAAAGCTTTGATCCTCCACACTGTTGACAATCAGATTCCCATGGACACCTCAATTATGTATTTTCAGACATAAAGTAGTGGAGTAAAACCTACATTTAAAGAGCAGCTAATGACTAACACTTAGTTCCTGTGAAATGAGCTGTTTGCATGCAGTTTTTAAACTGTGGTTAACACTGCTTAGCCTTGACTTCCGCCCACATGGTTTAGACTTCAGGATTTCACTGAAATTAAACTTTGAAGTTACTTTAAAAAATCCCTCTCTGTGGCTTAATTTCTTATGGATTATTAAATAAAGTGATTTTATAGAGGGAAGTGCATTTCTGCTGTTCATCACAGAAGTATAATACACTGTCTTCTGTGCTTAAAGCTAAAATTATTTTTTTATGAATAATATTTCAGAAAACTTTTTTTATGTTTCTAACCATTAAGAATGTTGTYGAGTTAACAATGATAGCATGTTAAATGACTTAGTCCATTTAAAAACCCATTTTTTCATTTTCTCCAGAGTGCCATGATGTTAACAAGTATWTTTCAGTGTTGAACATATAGCAGCTGTCATTAATAGAAGGGAAACTGGGTGTGAACCATCACGTGTGGTGTCTGCATCAGAAGCCTGATGTGCCTATGTGGAGTAATCTCCCTTTTTGTATATGAACTTGATTCTTATGGGTGCTCTGCTAGTAAATAGTGTTGCTACTATTTTCCCATTTCACATGGAACATGGTCTTGAACACTGTTGTGTAATCACTCCTTTCATTTGTGCACACTTTTTACTTTAAATAAAACATTTATATTAGGCCTCTATGTATTAACCTCAGGAAAAAAAATGCTGTGAAATGCTTGGATTTGCATGGAATCAYTTGGATGACCCTTGTATCTCCGGCTCGCACAGAAGGATCGTTGTTTAATCTTGAGCTCCCACAGAAGGAGTTTTGTTTAATCTTACCAGTGGCTTTCAGGGTGTGGTTCAACATTCCTTTGTTTTTTGTTTTGTTTTCCTGGAGGAGACTGYGCTGCTTGACCACCGTAATGTAAGCAAGGCAGCCTCTACTCTGGGCTTCCCACCTAGGTCTTCATGCAAGTCCCCCTCTAAAACACTTGGGCCAGCCCTGTTTCATCTTTCTCTACGAGGAGGACACATCATTGCAGGTTTTCTGTCGATTCAACTTTCCTTCCAACACCAATGTTGAGACAAAGCCAACTTAGTGAGGCTTTCAGGAGCTGTGGATGCAAAAAGCTTCGAGTAGAATATGAAATGAAATTCCAGCTTCTTTGTCCAAAGATGTTTCAGGTGGAACTTCTAAGATGTCATCTCACCTATGAGAGCTCCCATTCCTGCTCCTGAATTTAYTTCTGTGTAATTTCCCTTTGTTTCTCTAATTCCTCCCCCATATTCTCCTGCATTTATGACAAAAGCATTTGCCCAATACTCTTACACATACAGTATTTTAATATCTGTACCTCTATATTAAGAGACTTCTTTTGCAAGCTGACTTGTTATTAGAAGTATGTATCAGTGTTCTTAGACAAATGCTGCAGATCATTGCATGTTTTAATTACTTAACAAGAAGTGTGCGTTCAGAGGTTCCTGTTTGTTTTGGTGGCCAACTGTTCTTTGTTCAGTCTGAGCAGTTTATATTAAGATTCTTAAAAAAAAAAAATCTGTATATACATGTTAACTTAATTACTAATCTTGCATTTTCATTTTATGATGGTCTTTATGATGTCTAGGCAGGACAGATATCTGAAATTGTCTACAGATAAATGATGTTTTCCAGAGAACAGTAAGGAGTGAAGGATTGGATTCGCTTTCAGAAGAGGGGAATTTCACCGAATTTTGTATTTTCTTGACAAGACCTTGAACAGTTTTTTAAGGCCTTTTTACCTTCTGCTTATGTTTTAGAGTGATCCAAACTGCACAATTGAGATGTGTGGTCTTGTCAATATGCMTTTAACCACCAAAGCTGGAAGGCAGAAAGCCTCTGTCTTCCACATCTGCATGGCTTTTGTGGGAAAGGGTTTTTTTCAGGTGTAAATAGAACCAGAAGTCTGAGTGTCTATATCTGACTCTTAAGCTTCCACCAAGCTAGAAGGTAGCTGAAGGTGTAGAAGGTGTCTGAGCTTGTGTCTTTTTTAAATTGATTCTCCAAACACTTAGCTAAACATCTGAATTCTGACCACAATTTTAGATGTAAAAACTGTCATTCTGTCATTCTCATTCTTCATTGGATTTAGTGTTTTGCATGCAACTATTCCATAACTTGTCCTTTAAGTTCAACTTTTTGCAGCAAGTTATTTTATGGTACCTATAATGCATCATATTTACATTACTTAGTCTATCATAGGGTGTTTCACAAATATATCAAGACTGATCTTCAATATTTTAACCTAAAAGTAATGATTGCCGCCAAAATGACTTATATTTGTATGAAATATGTATGTTAGTGTCTTTCAGGAAGAAAACACTTTTTTTTGTCCTTTGGACAATGTTAAATTGCATTGCAGTAAGATGGCATATATGGAAAAGGAACATTAAAACCCTTTTCTCTCCTTCCTACCAAAAAACCCCATAAATGTGCAACTTGAATCTTATTCATAAAAGTGTGAGAAAATTCTTTACACATTTAGCAGTTTGACAACAAGTTAGTATCTGTGTTACCCAGCTTAACTGAAAGTTCATTTTATTTTAAGTCTTAATATGTTATCTGGCACTTCATTTTATATGCAGTAGTTGAAAGAATTTTTTTTATTTGCACTTAGAAATGCAGATTAGTTTGTCTCACTTGCTTTCCTTCCAAGCGTGTGAGTGGAAGAGGTATCACCCCCAGAGACCTGCAAGGAGTCAAGGGGTTTGCGTCAGGGAAAAGCAACACCTTTGCTTTAGGATATTTTGGAGGCGTGTATTTTCCAGTATGCTCTGCTTACTGTTATTTTACAAATACATGAAATGATATATTTCCTGGATAATCAATTGGTTTATTATATCTTTCACTATTACTATATCTTTCATTTTTTGATTTTAACTGGAAATGAAACTTTTGTGGTCATTTCTTAGTTGTCAAGTTAAAATAAGATATTTTTATCTTTTAAAATAATAATTTCTCTTCCCTGGGAGCTGACCTGGAAGAGTAAAGTCAGAAATTCTGTATGGGTTGCTTTGCTTTCGAAACCAAGATGTTTAAATAAAACAGCTAAATATGTTAAATGTGAATTATGCTGTAAGACAGCCTTAAATGTTGGTTTAATCAGATTCCAAAAAACTTCAGCGCTGCTTGAAACTCCAGGAAGGTTAGTAATGAAAGCAAAATCCCTCCCAAGCTCCAAGTTAATTTATTAATTAATTTATTAACTACTGAAAAGATCGGTTGTGAAGATTTTAGTTTAGTTGCATTGCACTTCAGATACCAAATGCTTTCCACAGTTTTATCCTCTGCCTACTGTCTTAGGCCGCATGATTGTGGTAGCTCTGTATCAACACCTTGGTTAGAACACAGAAGCTACTAAAATATGCACCTTGAAATGAAAAATGAAGATTATTTTTAAAAAAGATTAAACAGTGACTTCGAATTCCTAAGTTTATCTGCCATGGTTATGTGTAATATCCACCTACAAGTGTTGTCTGACTTATGTCTTTAGATTATTGCAGCTGTGATGTTAAGAATCTTGCATGTTCTTCAGTTACTCACAATTGAAATATGATGCAGTGCATTTCAATGGTTGGCTATTTGGGGGAAAAATTTTCATCAAAACCTAAACTTCTACAGCATAGAAAAGAGACAAGAATATCCAGATTGATTAGATGGTTAGATAATAGAATCACTGGTCAATGTTTTTCAAGGTAAGTGCCCCAAACTGATAGATTCAGTAATCTTTTTATTCCTCTATAATGCTGTGGTTAAGCCCCATATACATTTAGTAAGTACAGTGTGTTTGTATTTTTCCAGAATAGGTGTATATTTCCATAACACTTACTGTCCTGGCCTCAGATACTTTATTGTGGAGGAATAGAGTTAAATATCATTTAAACAAAGGCAACTGAGGTAGAACATAAATGCATTTCCTCYATCAGTTTCCTTCAGTCTCCTGCACACCCTTTTTGCTCTGTATAAAAGGAGTTTGTGTTTCCATGCAAAGCTAGCAACTGTTCTCCTGCACTGTATAGTTTTGCAGCTTGCACTGCTTGCTTAACTGTAAATGGAGAAAATCATCAGTCTCTGTAAAATCATTACAGGAAAACGTCTCCTCTTTTACTTTCTTTTTCTTTGAATGGCTGCAGAAGCTTGTTTGATATAGCAGCTCAAAGACGAGATGATACTTGCATAGTTCCATGTAATTCTGTTTTGCTGCAGGCTAGAGAGCAGCACTTAAAAAAAAAAAAAAGTACCGGGTACTACTGCACGTCACTGCACACCGTTAGAATTCACTTAAATCTGTTTTTTAAACTTTTCATAGTAGGGAAGTGTTGTTTAAAAAAGAAAAACAGATAATCTGTGTGTTGAGGTGATGTGACCTGTGTTTGAGCTACTGGGTACTCCTAGATTAGAAGATTCTCACTCAGAAGCAAAAAGGAACCAAGGTTTATGGTCGTGCTTCCATGCAACTTGGACTTAAAATGCACAGGTTTTATGAAGAGTGAATCTCAAGTGTTTGGACAGTACTGAGATATCAATTTTGGTCATTTTTGGTTCATGAAATGTAATTGTGCATAAGCCTCTGATTGTGCTTCTAAATCTGTAGAATTCGGCTGTGATTCTGCTACCGAATTGCAGGGGAAGTCTGGCAAAAAGCTAAAAATAGTAGGATAAACATAAGTAAGGAGGAATGTACTCCCCATAATGATGGTAGTTAATATGATAAATGCTCCCTGAAGTGCAGCTGAGTCAATCTCTAGTGGCTTATAATAAAACTATCGAAGTGAGAAGAGGGTGTAAGAGGATGGGAAGTGGAGTACAAAAGAGACCGAGRAAAAAAAAAAAAAAGTTCCTCTAATACTTCTCTAATACTTGTGTTCTCCTCAAAGGTTAAATTTTGGTTGTRATTTTTGGAAAGCTTTTATCTTTACTTTGGCCTAGTGAGACGGCAGGAATTTATGCCTTCTCTTTTCTCTATGGACTATGAAAAGGCAAATTGTGATTTTCTGTGTGTGCATTTCACTGGCATGTGGTGGCGTGTTTCAAACAGCTCAGAGAGGGAGAGTGCTCTTAATTTCAAATAATTGGGAGCTTTACATGCTTCAGCCAGAGCGAGGCTTCTTTTGGACTGCCTTTTTTGCTGGAAAGCCTCCCTTCTGTCCCAAATGCTGCAACACAGCAGCAGCAAACTGAGGACTTCAGGGATGACACAGCGATGCGCATACAAAAACTGAGCCCAAGCTCTTCCACAGTGTGTCTTTACCTGACTAACCCTTTAGTAAGATGCTGTGCTTTTTTTTTCCAGACTTGAAAAAATAAATACAACCATTATGGTTTTTATGGTCACAGTGTTAACGTCAAAAGCCAGGCCCTGCTGCTTGCACGGCTCCCCTAACCCCTCTTCCCCGTTCGGACTCTGGGCACTGCGTTGCCGTTCTCGCTGCAGGCTGCCGCGSGTCCCGCAGGGCGCTGCCTCCCCCTCCGGCCCTGGCCGGCCCCAGCGCGGCCGAAACGCGGCCCTGGAACCGCCTCGGGCGGCGGGGCGCGGGCAGAGCCGTCGCGGCGGCCACCAGCCCCTGTGCGTGCCCGGCTTCGCTCCCTGCGAGGACGGTTCGGCTCCCTGGATGCCTCTGCCCCCTGTT